CTCACAGAGCCAGGTCGCCCCCTCACAGAGCTGTGTGCCCCCCTCATGGAGCTGGCACCCCCTGACACGGGTCAGGTCACCCCCTCGTAGAGCTATGTCACCCCCCACAGAGCCATGTCACCCCCTATGGAGCCACGTCAACCCCTCACAGAGCCAGGTCGCCCCCTCACAGAGCTGTGTGCCCCCCTCATGGAGCTGGCACCCCCTGACACGGGTCAGGTCACCCCCTCGTAGAGCTATGTCACCCCCCACAGAGCCATGTCACCCCCTATGGAGCCACGTCAACCCCTCACAGAGCCAGGTCGCCCCCTCACAGAGCTGTGTGCCCCCCTCATGGAGCTGGCACCCCCTGACACGGGTCAGGTCACCCCCTCGTAGAGCTATGTCACCCCCCACAGAGCCATGTCACCCCCTATGGAGCCACGTCAACCCCTCACAGAGCCAGGTCGCCCCCTCACAGAGCTGTGTGCCCCCCTCATGGAGCTGGCACCCCCTGACACGGGTCAGGTCACCCCCTCGTAGAGCTATGTCACCCCCCACAGAGCCATGTCACCCCCTATGGAGCCACGTCAACCCCTCACAGAGCCAGGTCGCCCCCTCACAGAGCTGTGTGCCCCCCTCATGGAGCTGGCACCCCCTGACACGGGTCAGGTCACCCCCTCGTAGAGCTATGTCACCCCCCACAGAGCCATGTCACCCCCTATGGAGCCACGTCAACCCCTCACAGAGCCAGGTCGCCCCCTCACAGAGCTGTGTGCCCCCCTCATGGAGCTGGCACCCCCTGACACGGGTCAGGTCACCCCCTCGTAGAGCTATGTCACCCCCCACAGAGCCATGTCACCCCCTATGGAGCCACGTCAACCCCTCACAGAGCCAGGTCGCCCCCTCACAGAGCTGTGTGCCCCCCTCATGGAGCTGGCACCCCCTGACACGGGTCAGGTCACCCCCTCGTAGAGCTATGTCACCCCCCACAGAGCCATGTCACCCCCTATGGAGCCACGTCAACCCCTCACAGAGCCAGGTCGCCCCCTCACAGAGCTGTGTGCCCCCCTCATGGAGCTGGCACCCCCTGACACGGGTCAGGTCACCCCCTCGTAGAGCTATGTCACCCCCCACAGAGCCATGTCACCCCCTATGGAGCCACGTCAACCCCTCACAGAGCCAGGTCGCCCCCTCACAGAGCTGTGTGCCCCCCTCATGGAGCTGGCACCCCCTGACACGGGTCAGGTCACCCCCTCGTAGAGCTATGTCACCCCCCACAGAGCCATGTCACCCCCTATGGAGCCACGTCAACCCCTCACAGAGCCAGGTCGCCCCCTCACAGAGCTGTGTGACCCCCTCATGGAGCTGTCACCCCCTGACACGGGTCGGGTCACCCCCTCGTAGAGCTATGTCACCCCCCACAGAGCCAGGTCACCCCCTAACAGAGCCACGACACCCCCTCACAGAGCTGGGGGCCACTGCAGTTTGGCCAAGGGAGCCTTCATCCCCTTTGCTGGTGTGGGAAAAGCATCCCCCCAGGGAGAAAATGAAGATGAAACCCCCCAGTGTCCTCTGTTTAGGCCCCCACAAGGGTCCTGGGGTATTTTACGTGCGATGTGACTTTGTCCCATGCACCGTTCATCAGGAGCTGAGCTGAGGGTTTTGCTGTGGTTTTGGTGACAGCCACCCCTGGGGAGGGGAGCGTCTCTCCTCTTCCCAAATCCGTGTCCATTCCAGCACAATCTCAGCTACTTTAGAAGTCCTCATCCACTGCTTTCTTTCTCTGAAGATGCCAATGCTGTACAGGGCACATTTGGCACTAGCACTGGTGGTCCCCGAGACTTCGTTAGTGTCAGGGTGATTATCCCATCCCAGAGCTGAAAAGAGCAGCGTTTGGTTAATAGCAGAACTTGGGACAAAACCTGGCGATTTGAGTCACCGTTTCCCCTCTGGCAAGTGGGCAACCTGCAGAGACACCGGCATGGAAAGGACTGTCACAATCACACAACGAGGTTGTCCCCTGTCCCCTCACTGGTGTGACAGGGAAGCAAAAGTGCCCCAGCTCTCCTGCTGCATCCCTTGAGCACATCCACTGCTTGTCCCCGCAGCAGCACCTTGGCTCCCCGGGGCACAGAGGATGCTCAGCAGGTCTCAGGAAGCCCTACCAGCCCTGCCACCCCCTGCCATCCTGCTGTCACCCATGTCACCTGCAAGCTGTCAGACTCCTCAGGTAGCAGGGACCCTTCTGCAGACCACTTCTTCCAACCTCCTGGTGCTGATGCTGGGGAAGACGAGATCGTTCAGCCTGAAGGTTGAACATCCATCATCCAACATCCATCAGGATGTGTGACTTTTGTCCCTCAGCCTTCCTTTCCCTGCCCTGACTTGTGTTTGCCAAGTCCCAAAGTTATTCCCAAGACCTAACTTAATGTTTCTCTTGAGCAATTTTAGCCCATCCATACTCCTTCTGTCCTTGTTGACTGATGAGAATAATTAGTGTCTGGTCCTTTTATAGCACATCTGCTCTTTTTAAGATGGTATCGCTTATAGCACTCTTTTAATGCATAGAGAGGGAAACAGTTGCATTTAATTAATTGCTCCCTAAATAAACTAATCACTGCCAGTAATTTCAGCACACTTTGCACGCAGTTCAAACGCCCGTGTGGAGATCTGACAGGCAGCCACCCAGCCTAATGACAAGAAATGAAAGCAAAGAGGCAAAATATAGTTTATCTTCGTGAGAGTCGACTTAAGACTATTAATATTTAATTATCATAGACCGTATGGGTTAGTACTGCACTGGCCATCCCATGGTTCCTGTTAAGTTTTGCTTCAAGGTTGCTTGGACTATGCAAAAGATATTGAAAAGCTATGCCAGGAAAAAAAAAAAAAGACAATTTTAGTTTTTTATTGCTTTTATGGGTCGAAGGTCATTGTCTAGCAATTTATCATTGTATCTTTGTTCAGAAAAACGAATGATGGAGGTTCTTTGCCTGGGCCATTCATTTTTATTTCAGTGCCTGGACTCCTGTGCTGCAATAACTAGGCTCCTCGTTGCCCAGTGGGTATGTCAAAGCAATTCTCCACTAATCTGAGCAAGGAGAAACAATGTTTTAACAAGGACTTCGCAAATACTTGGGCTACCTTGAGCAAATATAGACCTTGTTTCCCTGACTAACTCAAGTTCCACTTACTCTAAGAGCAATTATGTGAAGATCAGTCACCTGTGAAGGAGACAAAGGGGTTTATTATATATTTCTATATTGCAGTGGTGGGCAAGACCTCCTTTGTGAGCATGGTCTCGTCACGTTAGGGGACTGTACAAAGGGCAAAGAGTTGGGATCCCCTAGACTTTGCAACATACATTTTTACGGGAGGAAAGTGCTAATTAGTCTCCAGAGTTTGGGAGCCTGTCCCTGGCCCAGGGAGCTGGCAGATGGCCAGCCACAACTTTTATCAACCCCTCTCCCCATTTGGGAAGTGTCTGGTGCCTGCCAAGTTTGTGGGATAAACAGCCCAGCAGAAGCCAGGAGCCAAATCATTTCTATATTTTAAATACAGTCTTCAGGTTATAATCACCTGCTTTCCTCCTCCACCACCAATGGGTTATGCTCAGTCTAAATCCTCTGGCGAATTCACACAGTCACACTCCCTGCACCCAAAAATTCTTGGGTTCCTCACACTTGACTCAGGACTTGGGATCAAACTGCCAAGGAATATTGTATGATCTTCCCATCACTCAGCATCTAAGGCCACTCTGTAGGTTTTTTCCCCCACCTCCAGCTTGTTCCATCCCCAAGGACAGCTCTTGATGTGCTGCCTTTAGGAAAGGGCAGGTTCCCATCTGGTTGTCATGACCCTGGAGACATCTCCCTTCTGTGACTCCCTTTATCTGGGGGTTATGTGACCACAAACCCCAGCCAAACCTGGGTATTGCTGGAAGCAATGGGCTGCTGAAACATTGCCCAGCTTTCTGTACGTATTCCCAGTGCTCCACCAGCCGGGGGGCTGGATAGTGGTGCCATTTCTAGATTCAAGCCTTTTTTAGCCACTGCAGTTTGGTGGACGTGACACACACCAAGTGCGTGGCCTCCCAGGGATGCAATAAAACACACATACCTCTGAAATAGGGCTAATTTGTAGCTGAGGGTGATTAATATCGCTAAAGGATCACATGGCTTCTGCCAGTGCTTGGCTCCAGAGGGGGGAAACACAGCGTTAGGGCTGTAATAAACCACCCCCGTGTGTTTTGCAGGCACACACCAGGCACCTTCTGCCTGTCCCAGACCCTGGGAGCGGGTTGGATGCAGCAGCCAGGTACAGTGACAACACAACCTTGTTGTCCCTGCCAAATACTGTCTTTTTCCATTCCTAAGCCTTTTCCTTTGCTGCTCTCTGGCATTTGATTTTGCTTTAAGCTCCCCGGCAGTAAATAGGACCTGGTGAGTGCTCTTTGCAGGAGGATGCTTACCTCCTCGTCGTGACCGCTGCTCTCTGCTCCCGATGGAAGTGCTGGGCACTTGGCTCTGCCTCTTCTCCACGATTATAGAGGTGCCTTCCCTTGGCCAGTCTCCAGGCTGATCCCAAATAGTCACGCCGACGGCAGCCTGGAAGGGCTCCCCCTGCATCATCCTCCTCTCTCTGGGACATGAGTACGTGCTCATCGCGCCTCAGTCACCTTCGCTGGATTTAAATGCAAACTTTTTGTTTAGGTGAGAAGAGCAGCCTGATCCCCAGGTGTGCGCCCTTCACAGAATCACATGGGGTTGGAAGGGACCTCTGGAGATCATCTAGTCCAACCGTCCTGCCAAAGCAGGTCCACCCAGAGCAGGTTTGCACAGGAACGTGTCCAGGTGGGGTTTGAATGTCTCCAGAGAAGGAGACTCCACCACCTCCCTGGGCAGCCTCTGCCAGGGCTCTGCCACCCTCACAGGAAAGAAGTCCCTCCTCGTGTTTAGATGGAACTTCTTATATTCAAGTTTGTGCCCATTTCCTCTTGTCCTGTCCCTGGGCACCACTGAAAAAAGACTGGTCCCATCCTCCTGACACCCACCCTTTAAGTATTTATAGGTGTTGATCAGATCCCCCTCAGCCTTCTGTATCAGGGGTGCTGCTGGCTTGAAGGGCCATGTGAGCAGTGGGGGGAATAATCCTTCCATGAGCATCTGGGCCATAGTGGGACTAGGGCAGAGCCTTCTGTCACAGCCTTGGAGAGCCAAGGAGACCGTATCTCCTGGAAACATCGTCCCCTTCAAGATTATTGACCTCTTTAAGGTTGTCAAGAGGTTTGTAGGGCAAGCACTCCCTGTACAGAAGCCATGTTGGGTTTTCGGAAGGAAATCATATTTATTCACTATTTCTACCCTTTATTAGACCTTCTGCTGACTTGTCTGTTACAAACCTCAAGCATGCAGGGCCTGCAGCCTGTGTCATTTAATGCACCAACCCTTTTGCTAAGCTGATAAAGCTCCATCTTCAGACTCCTCAGGCTCTTTTGGCCCCCCGTTCTCTCCTGGATCGGCTCCTCTTGAGATGCTGATCCTGGCTTGCTGTGTAATCTTCAGGAAGCAGCTTAGTGCCAGAAAGCCATGGCTAGAGGAAAAGCAAGAAGAAAGGCTGGCATCAAAGAGCAGAGCCCCACGCAGAAGGGCTCAGCACCAACCCACCCCCCTGAAAACTCACACAGCAGACAGCCCTTCCCCTGGACTCGCGCCCAGATTCCAGCTCCCTTTGCTGTTGTTTCCTACCAAATCTGGGAAGAACTCTTCCTCACCGCTGTGCAGGCATGAGACATCATGAAAATTACAGGGGGAGGGCGTCCTGCAAAATTAGGGATGGAAGGTGACGTAAAAAGGCAATGCAGAGTGTCCTGCAGCAAGAAGAGCAAAAATTGGATTTGGTGTGGTTTTGAAATGATAAAGCGGATCTTTCCTTACTGAGTTTGGTATTCTCCACCACGTGTCAGATAATGAAGCATGGAGAGATGTCTGCTTGCACTCACCGGGAGAACGACAGGAGAGAAAACAAGCGGATGAGCGGTCATCTCACAGTGAAGGGCATCTGGAAGGCCACAAGGGAGCTGAAACAGCTGTGGCCTGGGGACGTCACCCACCCATGAGCATGGAGAATGGGAAGGTAAAGCCACTGATGGAGACCGGGAGCTTGGGGGTAGCACCTGCTGGGAAGAGGTCTCCCATGGTAGGACGGGAGCCAGCTTGTCATGCCTCTCGTCGTGCCTCTCTTGGAGAATGAGCAGGGTTTATCCTGCTTGGATCTTCTTTGCAGGGACACATGAATCTGTGCTACAATGCGTGGAGATGGTTATTGCAAAGCCACTTTATTTATGGTGGTTTTATTGGCAGGGGAGTGGGAGTGCAATACAATTTTAGCCACTCTGATGTCTCCATCTCCCTTACATCCCACCTCCATTCCTAGAGAAGTTTTTTTTTTTCTTCATATTACATGAACTGTGCAAGGGACTTTCTGTACCTGAGATGGTACAAGATTAGCTGGTCTTGCTGAGAAGGGCCAGGTGTGGGCAGTTCTGGGAGAGCTGATGACCATATGCCTCCACCACCGTCACCAGTCCTGGCCCCCACCAGGTGCTTGCATATGGCAGAAACAGGGTAGGACCAAGAGCTGAGTGAAGCTCAGCTGGGATGAACTTGAGCATGAAGAACGATGCACTTCATACCTGCAGAGAGCCCAGACCTTGGGCACGAGCAGGGACAGTAAGCAGCTCAGCCAGCAGCACTTTTTGGGATCATTTTAGAAAGATCCTGTTGAAGATCGGAGGGAGCCTCCAAAGCTACCGAGTCCCAGACCACTGCTCCGTCATGCTCCACTTCTCAAAGTCAACACAAGTCTCTCCCACCTCCCACTGGCACCATCCACTGGATCACACAACCCTTTATAAACAAACCCGGAGAACGTTTTTTGTCTCTTCCTGTCCCTTGCAGATATTTTGGGTGTTTGTGGCAATCTCTCCTGTTTATATAACAAAGCCACAGCCCAGTGTTTGTGGCACCATATCCATGGTAACCCTAATATAGCATCCACAGGCGACTAGATTTCATTAGGTGGCTCAGCTGCGGCAGCACTGGGGAGGGAATCTCGCTGGGATGCTGAGATGCGCAAGGAGTTGGGTGGGCAGGGGCCTGGGCTGCTCATCTGACCTGGAGCTCCTGGCAAGGCAGCACCTCCCCAAGAGCAAGGGATGCTCTCCTTTCGGTACCTTTGGCCTTTCTCCTGCTCTCCCTTCACCCTGTCACCATGGCATGGTGCTGGGCACAGCCTGTCCACCTGCCTTTCACTCTGCAGAAGAGCCGCGGGTGCGTGGCTGGACGAGGAGAGGTAGAAGAGACGGGAGTTGCTCAGCCTTCTCTTGACGTGACAGTCCTTGCTGGAGCAGGAGCAGCAGGAACCAAGCCATAAAAAGCAGCTGAGCTCCAATTCTGGGTCCAATTCTATCTCCAGTTCTGGGACACTGCTCCGGTGGCAGTGGGGAGGTCTGACTGCATGGCTGGGGCTGGGTCCCCTTCAGATGTGGTTCTCGTGGAAGATGAGGCAGGGGACATCAATTGGTGTAAAAAAGAAAATTTGGTCCGAACCATGACACTGAGGAAGGCAAAAAAAAAAGAGAAACAGGTTAGGAGAAAGCAAGATGGTGGAATGAGCAGAGGATTAGCAAGGGGGATGTTACAGCATTTGTTGCACACGTGCTGTGAGGCACAAACTCATGTGCAAGGAGGAGGGAATGGCTCTTCCCACTCACTGCTGTGGGTCACCGTCTCCCCCAGTGTCCTGTCTTGGTTGGCACCCACCATGGCAGCGGGTCACACAGCAGCTGTTGCAGCCACGCATGGAGATTCCCATGCAAAACCATGCAGCTGAGAAATAACCACCCTGAATTATTCACACTGTGGCCCAGCAAGGCCCAGGTGACATTGAGACATCAAATACTCGCCTGTGCCTCCTCTGGGCAAATGCAGACGCAGATCTTTCAGGCCCAGCACCTTTTTGGTGCACAACGAAGCCATCGAGCAGCCTGCAGATCCTTTTCGACCTGTTATGGGAACGGGACAGAGCAAAGCAATCCTTTTACAAGGATGATAAACAATTCTCCCCACCCTGGGATGTACATCGAACAGTTTCTTCCAGCCACGGGGCTGGTCCAGGCTCCGGTGTGAGGGGTGAGAGGTGGGTCTGGCCAGCGAAATGGCACAGAGCATCGATCAGGGCTGGGGTTCCTGAGACCCTGCACGATGACCCATCCACGTGAGCATCTCCCTTCCGTGCCAGCCCTCTCTTCCCGCTCCTCACACCGCGTTGGAGCAGTCCAGCTGGAGTCAGACACTGCCTAACCTCATCAGCACCGAGGCAAATTCGATCCTGGAGCTGGCTGGCCATGGAGGGGGGGGCTGCGAACGGCCGAGCCCCCGGGGCACGCAGAGCTGCACCGGCTGCACGGGAGCAGACAGCCAGCTTCCCTCCCCTCCCTGCCCTCTCCCAAATTGAATTTCCATTTCTGTTAGCAAGGGAATGGATTATAGCTCGGAGGGGTGCTGCCTGCTTCAATCCCTAATTTGGTGCGTCAATTGTGTTTAAACCCACTTACCTGTAAGTCAGGCTTTGTTCCAGGCAGGCAGCCCTCGCCTCCTGCCGATGGAGGCAGCTGCTTCCCCGTGCTCCCTGCCACAAGTGCCAGGCTCTGCTGCTTCCAGGACTCTGGAAACCACGGCTCTGCTGCCTTTAGGACTGGCTTTGCATCCGAGGTCGTCAGTGGAAACAAAAGGCCACGGTAGTTTTAGCACGTCCTCAGGAGAGTTTGGACGTGTGGCTCTGCAGAGGATGGGGCCAGCAACACCTGGTGGGGGGGTTAATGCTGCTACCAGGGTTTGTAGGGCATCCAGCACAGCCAAGCTGCGGCTTGGGGGACACATCTGAGCACTGGTCATTAAAAATAGCCTTTCTTACTTACAGCGTACTCCTGTGCATTACTGCACCCTCATCTCTTTTCTGCTGGGGAGGATGAGCAGGGTCTGCCTGGAGCAGGGCAGGGGGTGTGTGGGGAGACCTGAGCCTTGTCCCCAGCACAGGATGCTCTGTGCTGGCACTGGCCCAATCATCCCGGCATTAGCTCCAGCAAGAGCTTGCAGGTGAGCAGAAAGCCACTGCTGCTGCTCTACCTTCAAAGAAAAGGAGGTGAACCCATGGGTCCCATCCCACAGCCCTCCCGGTGCTCCTCCCGGCAGCTGGCCCACGGGAAGCTGCTCTGCACCAGCGGTCGGAGCTTCAGAGTCAGGAAACTGGCATTTCTACACCTCATAGCCGCTCTGCCCCAGCCCTGAGTGGTCGGAGCTTCTGAGTCAGGAAACTGGCATTTCTACACCTCATTGAAGTCCTAAAATAAACACCCGGAGCAACGAGTGGAGAGCTGGATCCTCACTCCTCGCCTGGATTTATGAGCAACAACTGGGGAGAAACTGAAGGGGGGAAAGAGAGATATACATAATTTTTTTTCTCTCTAAATAAATTCTCACTGCTTATCTGGAAAGTTCAGCTGTTTTCAAGCTGACCTGCCCATGTTATGCTGTTCCGTTGCAAATTCCTTCTGTAGAGGAAAGCTCAGGAGCTCCACTTGCATGTGCCAGCAACCTGGGGTTTCATCTCTAATAGATGGAGGCAGAACTCATTAGCTAAGGACCCCCTTCCTCCCCCCAGTGAGGATCATTTGCCTTCCTGCCATGCTGGCAGCTCGGCTTCTTTCCCCTTACAATAAGAAAACAAAGCCAAGAGAGAAGGAGAAGTGGGTGAATATGTGCTTGGGGGAGGTTAGAAATGGGGCAAGGCACAAAAAAAATCTGTTCTCGGGGGTTTTTGTAACGCAGCCAGGCGTCTACCCAAGCAGCCAGGGCTGGAGGACCAGGAACATCCATCTGATGCCTGCAGACAAGGATCTCAGAGCACAGTGCGTCCAGGAACAAGCCCAGGAGCCTCAGGGAAAAAGGAGGATGCTGCCTGCTCCTTCGGGAAGATGAGCAGGGCCACAGATGGGTTGAGCTGTGGAGGTGCAGACCCAGCCTGGGGCACCCTAGGGGTTCAGTTTGCACCTCCAGCGAGTGTGGCCCCAAGAGCTGTCACTGTGGGATCCTCCCCAGGGGGCTCTAACGGCTTCCTACACATTAAACTATCCAGACATGTGTTTCTAAAGCTGCCAGCCACAGAGGGAGGGCTGGTGTGGGGCTGGGATGTGCATCCAAATCACTGCTCCCCCGGGGGACGGGATGGGGCTGAGGGATGCACTTGTCCAGGAGAGCTCAGCTCTGGCTTTCTCTCTGCTTTGGGCTTTTGCTTGACAAAGCTGAATGAAAGACCAAAACCTCTAACCAGCAGGTCACCCGACAAGGAGAGACGCTCCGGATCAATTGCCACGTTCCTGGGTAATGGTTGTGTTTGAGGACAAAAAAAACTCATCGAATTTAGCGTAGAGATGCACACATTGATGATTCATTAAAACACCCGGGCACTGAGCTGAATCTATTTCCTCGCATTACACAGGGCTGGGAAATGTGGATCTGCCCCCATGACATTGCTGCAAGGACCACGAGTGAAACCCAAGACCCAGAGGGGACCGGAGGGGACTCCGCACAGAAGACATCTGAGAGCATCGCGTGTCACGTGAGCCAGCATTAATAAAACAAGGCCACAAACTCCGAGACTAAAGCAAGGCAGTGTGTATGAATCAAAGAGCTTGAGGCGGTTCATTATAATTCCAATTAACATTAAAAAGTTAATAACCTAAAGAGAATACATCAGACTTTAAACAA